GCCGGGCGCGGCCGTGGGAGCGGGGAGCGGGTGGCGAGAATGCAGAAGTGCGGGCCGGAGCGAGGGGAGCCACGTCGTCCTCCGCCGTTTGCCCCGCGGGATCCGGAGTAGTGAGAGCTTCTGAAGATTGCGAGCGTGCCGGGTGCGGAATCCCCGAAGTGGGTTTAAGTCTGCACATTGGGAGGGGTGGTACAATCACTCCTCGATTGGGTGAAAAAGACGAGATGCCCCGTGAGAGCCGGGTCTCAGACCACCTTAGGAGGGTGTGTGTTAAGAAGTGTAGCTAGACGTGGGTAAGAAGTGGTTGGGAACTTCACGATGCTCTCGCTGGTCACCTTCAGAGGATCTGAGCGTGGACGCTTCCCACGTTTGCTCCATTCTGTGATCTCGAAGACTGTCATCCTGCAGATTCCAGATAGTTTGTAAAGAATGTTGTATTTGGAATCCTTCTGTTGTTTGAACTACTGAAGTTGGACTTTCCTTCAGTTCCGGGGGCGGGGGATGGGAAGCACTTCCTGAAGGTGCCCTTGGCCTGCCCCCAGCCCTGCCCAGCTCTTGCAAAACCTGCAGTGTCTTTATGATCTGCTGTGTCATTTTTTTCCTTCTGCTTCTTCTTCTCTGGCCCAAGGACTGGTGTTTGGAGTCCAGGGCAGTTCACAAACCACCAGTGCTCTTTGTGCACACGCCTGAAGCACTCCGCACTCCCCACACCACCGTGCTTTCCTTCCTGGGTGGCACAGAAGGGGGGTAGTGAGGCTAATAGCCCCCCCCCCCCCGCCCCAGACTGCCTAGGACTTGCCTGGTAAGCGAAGGGTTACCAGTGCCCAGGAACACAGTGCCCACCATCCCTGCCTTCTTGCAGCCTCTTCTAAAGAAGTAATGGTTTCCTCTAATCTCCTAATGTCTAAATACATTGTCTTTCACCACACCTTAGTAGAACTCATGACAGAACCACATACAGGGGGGCTAGAGAGATGGCTCAGAGGTTTAGAGTACTGCTTACTTGGGCAGAGAACCTGGGTTTGATTCCCAGCACCCACATGGTGGTTCACAGTGATCTGCAACTCCAGTTCCAAGGAATTCAAGGCCCTTCTCCATCCAGCGTCCATGGACTGCAGACACATATGTGGAGCACATGCATATATTCAGGCAAAACATCATACATACCAAATAAAGTGAACAAATCAAAAAAGAATCACATACTAAGCTGGTTTGTAGTGTGACATGTCTTTAGTCCAGCACGCCACAGCCAAAGCCCGATTTACCTAGCAGATTCCAGGCCAACCAGGGCTACATAGTGAGACTGTCTTGGGAAAAAAGAAAAGGATCTATTTAATAAACTTTCGTTTCTTTACCTATAGCTGTTCTGTGGCAGCCACTCCAGATAATGCATACATTGTGTCTCTTTTATAGGATGAATTTTTAGATGTGATCTACTGGTTCCGACAGATCATTGCTGTGGTCTTGGGTGTCATTTGGGGCATTTTGCCCTTGCGAGGCTTCTTGGGAATAGCAGGGTAAGTCTTGGATATCTCACACTCTTGTAGTTTTGTCTGAAGTGGGATCTTGCTCTGGAGCTTAGCACTTGGTAGTTCTCCTGCCTCAGCCTCGTAAGCAGCTGTGCTCAGGACCCTCATTCCTATTTTTATTTTGGTAAGGGACAAGGTCTCATGTAGCTCAGGTTGTCACTTGAACGCCTGATCCTCTTGCCCAACTTCCCAGGTGCTGTTGATGCTTACAGGCATGCGTCAACACGCTTGACTCTTGGTTTCTTTTCAGATGGAGACTCCATTTTCCTTATGACTGGCACCGTGTACATCTGACTGCTGAAGCAAAGTCAACATTAGCACTCCTAGGCCTGGGGCAGTGTTCGTTAGCTCTCAGGCCCAGGAGCATCTCACGGCAGGCTGCTGTCCTGAATCTGGGCCAGTCTGTGCATTCGTGGGTCTAATGTGACTCCTTGCAATGTACTACTGTGGGCAGCAAATATTCGTAATTGTGGCCTGATCTTGGTGCCTGTGGTAGTTTAGGAAGTAGAGGACCTTTGTGTTGATGACCATTTTTTTATGCTTTGTATTTTGTTGATGTATAGCTCTTGGCTTTGAGCAGGAATTGCTCTCAGGTGCCTGCGCTTTAAAAGTACCACCTTCACCCCCACCCCAAGTAGGAGGTTTGGCCTTGCATGTTTTACTTTACTCCTGGCCAATGGCAACAGCCTTGTGACCCTGCTCATGCATGGTTCAGGTTAGCGCGTTACTGAAAAAAAGCCTGTGCCCATGAAACTGCATTTGAAAAACTTAAAACTCCTAAGTAGGAACTGTGAGCAAGCTCTTGTGCAAGTGAGGAGACTTGCCTGGTCTCTTTTTACCCGGGAATACAAGTGAGCACTCCTGTGTCTCACCCCTGCCAGTGGAAAGCCGTGCTGGCTGTTCGAGGACCAACGGTGTTTCTTACCAGTTTCTTTAGAGAGTGAGAAGTGAGTATGTTTCAGAACCAGATTGGACAGTACTAACCCAAAAGAAATATATAGTAATCTCTCCTGCTGACAGATCTATTTTAAAACCCTCAGTGGATACCCTCAGCCAGTTACATAGAGCTCTTAGAAAGTTCAAGTTCTAAATGAGGAGCTTGGCACAATGGTGCATGCATAACTGTAATCTTTGTGCCTAGGAGGCTGAGACAGGAGGCTCTCTATGAGTTAGGCCAACTGGGCTACATAGTGAGTTCCTGGCCAGTCAGTAAGGGATACGGAATAAGACTGTCTCAAAAAAAAAAAAAACAAAAAACATTGTAGGCAGTGGTGGTGCATGCCCTTAGTCCCAGTTTTACGCGTCCACTCTGATAAGATCATGCACAACAAGACAGTGGTGAGTGGTGGTGGCACACACCTTTAAACCCAGCACTCAGGAGACAGAGGCAGTCGGATCTCTGAGTTCAAGGCCAGCCTGGTCTACAGAGTGAGTTCCAGGACAGGCTCCAAAACTACAGAGAAACCCTGTCTCAAAAAAGGAAACTAACAAAATTTTTTTTTTCAAATTAACATTGAGAGATTAACAATGGTAACTAATAAAATAATTTTATCAATATGTTATAATAAAATTACATGGTCCTTTCCTCTTTCAAAATACCTAACTGTTTTATGCTACTCCTGCTAGTGATAATGTCAAATGTTTGAAGAAAGTACTTCATGGCTTTTATGGTATATCCAGGTTGCTGGCCTCACTATTCTCCAGTTTTGAAGCCATTACTAAGTAAAGCCAGGGTTGTTTGAGCACAAGCCCTGATACTGTTACAGTCTGATAACCAAGCCCCTGCTGTTACTGAGAGGTAGGGAGCACAAGGGTGCTGGAAGGAGGGGAGGGGTGGTGTGGTGAAGCAGGGCAGCGTGAGATTTCACACACTGCCTGGAGCAGCCTGTAGTTGAAAATTAGGCCTTTCACTTACATGGTACAGACATGTTTATTTCTGGAACTTCTCATTTGTCCATGGTGATGGTAGATAACTGAAACCACACAAAAACTGAGCAAGGATGAACTACTTACTATCCAGTGCCTCTTAACTAAAAGGTTTTCTACATTTTTTATACTGAGCAACACACTGTACAAGGAAACCATTAAAAGTTCATGCTGTGTATCATCTTTGTTATTGTTGTTTATTCTTTGTTTCTCGGGACAGGGTTTCCCTGTGTAACAGTCCTGGCTGTCCTGGAACTCGCTCTGTAGACCAGGCAGACCTCAAACTCACAGAGACCCGACTGCCTCTGCCTCCCGAGTGCTGAGATTAAAGGTGAGCGCCACCACCACCCATTTTGCTGTGTCTGGTCTTAATAGACTGGACGTGTAAGACTGATGGGGGTGATGGGATATCAGACCTTGGGTTCATACAGCTCTTCCTAGGTAGGATGAGGTATAAAGACAGAATGCTAGTCACCTCGAGGTGAGCCAAGAAGAAGGCAGATAAGAATAATGGCAGAGGAATAGGAACTTGTCCTAAAGATCAGAGTAATTGCAAGGCCACCAGTGTGGGGAAGGGGCCGTGCGACTTCAGAGCTTCTGCACCTGTTAGTCTTTCGGGATTTCCCCCTTTGGTGTTTGGTTCGTGCACATGGTGTGCCATGCGTGTACATTCAGAGGCCGGAACAGGATGCTGGGGTCGTCCTCTATTTGTGCAGTGTTGCCTTGTTACATAGTCTCACTGTCCAGGTTAGTCTGCCTGTCTGCACCCCCCAATACTGGGATAACAGGCATATGTTGCCATGACTGGGCTCTTCATGTGAGTGGTAGGGATTTGAACTCAGGTTCTCATGTTTGGAGAACCAGAGCTCTTAACCACTGAGCTATTATTACCACAGCCCTTAAAATATTTTTTTAATTATTTATTTATTGTGTATACAATATTCTGTCTATATGTATGCCTGAAGGCCAGAAGAGGCCACCAGATGGTTGTGAGCCACCATGTGGTTGCTGAGAATTGAACTCAGGACCTTTGGAAGAGCAGGCAATGCTCTTAACCACTGAGCCATCTCTCCAGCCCATTAAAACATTTTTTTAAATTTTGTTTTTTAGATTTATTTTTATTTTATGTGCATGTTTTGTCTGTGTGAGGATGCCCTGGAATGGGAGTTAAAGACAGTTGTGAGCTGTCATGTGGGTGCTGGGAATTGAACCTGGGGCCTCCGGAAGAGCAACCAGTGCTCTTGTTAACTGCTGAGCTATCTCTCCAGCTCCTAAAAAAAGTTTTTAATTACGCTTTTCGTGGCCATATGTATGGCAGCCAGAGAACTGCTTACAAGGGTTGGTTCTCACCTTTCACCGTGTGGATTCTTGTGGTGGAGCTTGTGCCAGGCTGGACTTGGCTACAAATGCCTTTGTTCACTGTGGCCCTCCTGTAAGATTGTGTTGTGATTTCTGTTTTTGAGATGAGGGTGTTAACTTTGCAGCTCTGGCTGTCCTGGAACTCACTTTGTAGACCAGGCTAATCTTGAATTCACAGAGATCTGTTTCTACTTCTAGTGCTAGGACTAAAAAAAGGCGTGTGCCACTATTCCTGGCCCTTTTGTAGCATTCTGAAAGGATTTCTCTGAGATCATCCAGTCTGGGAGTGATCTAGCAAATACCAGCATAGTTCATTACTCTTCTTACTGTGTACAGACTGCCTTTAAAAAAATCACAGGCAGTGATCGTGCATGCCTTTAATCCCAGCACTCAGGAGGCAGAAGCCAGCCTGGTCTACAGAGTGAGTTCCAGGACAGTCAAGAACAGCTAAGACTACAGAGAGAGATCCTGTCTCGAAAAACAACAACAACAAACAACCACTTCATAGAAAACTAGTTCAAGTTCTTTAGATATGTTTCTTTGAAACTGTATAATCTCGGGCTTACCTAAGATCAGTCTTCTCATCAGTAAAATAGCGACAGGGGAGTGACTGACAGGTGAATTAAATGGATGATGTAAGTAAATTGCTAAGTGCAGACTTCTGTTCATCGGGCATTCCACGAGTCAGCTCACCATTATAGTTACGTGATTAGATTTATAAAAAGTGGTAAAATGTGGCTGAAAGAACAAGAAATGAGTGCACTTTGGACTGGCTCACCCAGTGTGTGCTGCCTCTATTCCATGGTTGCTGTTTCTGGGATTCAGTCCCACACTGTCAGCACAGCCAATTTTTCACTCTGGACAAACCCTACCCTCTTTTGGGTTAGCACTTTCCACCTGCTGTTGGAAAGGCCGAGAACTTTGTTTATTTTTCCATGACCCATCCCCAACTTCCCTTGCTTGAGGCATGACTTCCTAGTGCTCATTTCTAGTGAATTCCCTCCTCTCTCCAGAAACTGTTTGGCTGCCCTCTGTCCAAGTCCCGTCTTTATTTCATCCTGTTGTGGCCCTCAGCATCAGTTACCATAAAACTTCTCCTGTTTCCTTATTTGTGATTTGCCCAAGAATGACTGACAGTTATTTTGTGTACTAAGGCTTTGCATTGACGACCCATCTCTGGGTCTCTCAGCTTAGCACATAGTCCATATGTGCACAGCTAATGTTTAACTTTTTAAAAACTGGTGTTTTCGTTTACTTGTATATATTACATGCGTGTATTTTGTATGTATGAAGGGGGACACCCATGTAGAAGTGAGAGGACAGCTCAAGGGAGTCATTTCTCTCCACCTAATGGCCTCACTGATTGAACTCTGATTGACAGGCTTGGCCCTATTACTGGGACAGGGTCTCACTGTATTACCCAGACTGACTTTGGACTCCTGCAGATACCTCCTCCCAAATACTGGAATGACCTTGAACCCTTAATCTTGTTTCTACCTCTCAAACGCTGGATTTGCATGTGCATGCCAACCGTTTTTTTTTTTGGGATCTTGCTATGTAGCCTAGGCTGGCCTCTATTTGGGACTCAACCTCTTTCATATTCATTTTGTTACCCTAGTCTACCACGTTAATCCGTTGACATCTTTGCTGTGTAACGTTTGTCCCTAATTTATATAATAGAAACTCATCCTTGAAGCTTAGTCAGTGTGAGGCCCTTCTAGTCCTTTCTTGACCCTGCCTCTGACCTCACCTAAGATTAGATTTAAATACCTTTATTCCTGTGCCTTCTGTCTACATCAGGTATTGCTTCGGAAAGGTAGTGCCTATGTCAGCCTTTTCTTCTTGTCACCCCCACTTCCTGACTCCGTGGTCCTTCTCCACCTCTGCTTATTGTCATTGTGGGTTGGTTTGAGTTTGATTTTCTTTTGTTTTTTTTTTTTTTGTTTTAAGTGTGTCCGTCCTCTTGTCTCCTCTGCCACCCTCTACCTCCGAACGTTATTTTTTTAATGTGTGTGGATGTTTTGTCTGCTTGTGCATCTATCTGTCCAGGCTGGCCTTGAACTTCCAGCAGTCCTTCTTGCCTCAGCCTTCCAAGTGCTGGATTGCAGACGTGAGCGACCACGCCCAGCGTCAGCTTATTATCTGGTCCTTCCAGTATCCGCCCCAGCTTCCATTGGTAGTCTTCAGTTAGAACCAAAAGATTTGGCGAAATGTTTCTGGCAGGCGATAAGGATGTGGCTGCAACATACTCAACAACTATGTTTCCTGCGAAATCCAAGAACTGTTTGTTGCACACCCAGTCCATTGGGTGTAAACAGCCTGAGCACTAATTTCCCCTTACGACATGCTCATCCCCAAGATATGTTTGCTCTTAAATCCTGAAACCTGAAGTGTAAATCAGACTTCCCCACTCCTATTACTTCTACTTATTGAGAAACCCACAGGGGCTGGAGAAATGGCTCAGCGGTTAAGAGCAGTGGCTGCTCTTCCAGAGGACCCGGGTTCAATTCCCAGCACCCACATGGCAGCTCACAACTGTCTGAAAATCCAGTTCCAGGGAATCTGACACCTTCACACCAATGCACATAAAATAAAGATAAATAAATCATGAAAAAATTAAAAAAAAAAAAAAGAAACCCACAAACCTGACTCATGAAGCCTCTAGGATACCATTAATTCCACCAAGTACCAGTGTACTTCCTTAGGTCACCAGTCTGTGTTTCACTCTGGAAACAATCTCTGCATCCCGCTCCTGCCGCCCCTCGTCTTTCTGCTCATGTGCTACATCAGCTCGTACATCATAGGACTCAGGACTGGGGTAGAGGGTCATAAAAGTTTCAACTCCATTCCACATTGCTGTTCTGGGCCACCTAATAGATGGTAAGCCAAAGGCAAGGGTGTTGTGTTCACCAGTTCATTGAGTCAGTAACAAGCAGCAGAAGATCACGAATGGCCTTTTAGGAATTACACAGAGAGAAACAGTACTGTTGCTTGCTTTATCAGGCTATAAAGTAATTAAATATATGTCTTTCCCCTGGCCAACACTCAGTTGAAGCTTTGCTGAGGCTCATGGCTGGTGTAGTTCCTGTTTGGGGAGCATTGCAGCTGTTCTGATTTCTTCAAGGAGGCTAAGAAATTCTATGTACTTTAAATTGGAGAGTGGTCTGGGTGTAGTGGCATATGACTTTAATCCTAGCACCTGGGAGATAGAGGCAGGCAGATCTCTTGTGGGCTTGAGGCCAGCCTGGTCTGGAGTTCAGACCTGCCAAGGCTACATAGTGAGACCCTATCTCAAAACAAAAACAAAAAAAAAGTAGATTGAAGAATTGGACATTGTTGGAAATGGAACCCAAAGCCTTGTGTATGCGAGACAAGTACTCTGTCACTGAGACCCCTGCCCCATGCTTTAGAGATTTTATCACATGCGTTTGACTAAAAGTAGTTGTTCCTTAAATCTCCAGCTAGGTGGGAAACTCCACTGAAGGTCTAGACATTTGTGTGTATTCTGTTCACCCTCCCACCATAATAGCTAGCCAAGCCCCCGCCCCCCCCCATTTTACGGATGAGGGAGTTGAGGTTCCTCTGGAGAAACTTATACATACTCTCATAACGATGAAGTAAACAAATTGAGCCTGTTTTCCTAAGCTTGGAGCTTTTCTCTCCAGGTCATCCCTTGCCTGGGTGGGGAGACAACAATACGCATAAGCAAAGAATAAACTGGAACTCAGTGCCCTACCAGCTGGGAGAGCGTGCAGCTTCAGATCTTATGCTTTGTGTTTGGTGCTTTCCCCACTCCAGGTTCTGCCTGATCAATGCGGGAGTCCTGTATCTCTACTTCAGCAACTACCTACAGATTGACGAGGAAGAATATGGTGGCACATGGGAGCTCACCAAGGAAGGGTTCATGACATCATTTGCCTTGTTCATGGTATGTGTAGCTGGAAGTTCTACAGCAGCTTCTGTTCATTATGAGCTGTTTGTCATTCAGGGAGCACACTTAGTTGACTGTATAGTTGGGCTACTGCTCCCTTAGTGGCACATCGAGGAGATCCTCTAAAAGATGTGGCCTGGGGTGCTGTACACTTATGTAAATCCAGGGCCTACTATCAACTACATATTAGAAACTGGGAAATGTTTTAATATATATTTGTGGAGCTGGGTGTAGTCATTCACAACTATAAATACCAGCATGGTGGATTATAAATTTGAATTCAGACTGGACTACATAGAGAGACCTTGTCTCTAAAAGAAAGAAGAAAACCAAAAATATAGATAAATACATGAATATTAAGTATACGCATTATTCCTAGTAGGAAAAATTAAACCACTCACATGTCTGTTATCTGGAGTGTAAAATGTTTTATATTCATACAGAAAAACATACTTTCTGTGGTACTGCAGTATAGGTGCTAAGTGGAAGAACCTAGACATAAAAGGCCACGTGATTCCACTTAGTGAAATGTCCAGAATATATAGGGCCATGGAGACAGAAAGTAGGTTGGTGATTGCCGGTAGCTGGGGGGAGGGAGAGATGGGAAATGACAAGTGACCACGGGAATAGGCCTTCTCTTTGGTGTAATGTTTTGGGATTAATGATACTCTTTATGAAATCCTAAAGACCTCAGAATTATACACTGCCTTTTTCATTGGGTGGGGGGTTGCTGCTATATTGATCCAGGTGACAACACAAAACTTGCTTGTGTCTCTTCTAGGTCATTTGGATCATCTTTTACACTGCCATCCACTATGACTGATGGCGTCTGCTCCCATCTCTTCTGTCCAGCCCGAAGGACCCTTTTATTACAGCACAGATACATGCTTGTTGGGGCACTCCTGCCACGTGGAACTGAGAAGACCCATGTCTTTTGGACTTAGAATCAGCGTGTTGGGCATTGGTGTTTTCTGCAAGGGTTGTGAAACTTTTCAAAGAACCATCTGCCTTTGGGGAAACATTTCTGAATTTGTCCATCACCAACCATTTTCTTGGATACCATCATGTAACAGCTGTTTGCCAAGTGGAGCTGCTGTTTAATCTGATGCGCCTCTGGATCCGGATGAAACATTAAATTGTCTTCCTTAGTTCTCTGTCAGGTGTACAGTTTTTAAACTATCAGTGGCATCTCAAGTCTTCTGAAAACACCATGTGCGTGATCCATAGCGCAGTATGGGCAGCCGTCTAAAGTTTCCACTGTAGAGTGTTTTCAGATACTTGAATAAACAAGTCTAACTGAAAGTGTTGGCATGCTTGGTAAACTAAAGCCTTGCTTAATTCCCCACTGGCACCCTCAGAACCTAGGGAGAGTGTCAGACAGAGCCCCAGCTTTCCTCCTCCTCCCTCTCTGCTCCCATAGCCCCTTCAGTCAGGCCTCTCTTTCTGACTGTCAGGGAAACAAGGGGCTGGAGTTGGTGAGGGTTATTGCCTTGGCTTTAACATTGCGGAAGAGGGTCTGCTACCTGATGTTCTGGCCCAGCACTGAGATAGATGATTAATCTACAATGTCAGACTTAAAAGGTGTCATATTGTGTTTGGCCACCAGATGGCAGGACTAGTGTATGGCTGGGCTGTGTTTGGATGAACACTGAATGAAGTAGAGATCTGAGAGTTTGGCTGTGAAGGGACTTTTGAGGGATCATGGGAAGATCTAAATTGTTGGTCTTGCTCTGCTTGGGGGTAAGATGGTGGCTGCTGTGTTAAGCCACCAGGTGCTCTGCCTTTGTCTTTGCTTTGAGCCATCCTACCGTCTGAGATGTGTTTGCATTCTTAATGAGTCTTGTAAATTTCCCTAATATTTTTTCTCTTCTTATGCTAGTGATGATCTCTGCCTTTTTGTCGGGCTGATTAGCATTCATAATGGACATCCTTCTTAGGAACGTCAAACCTCAGAAGTAATTTGCTCTGTAGAGGCCTGGCTCTGTCTTGCGATGCACGTGAACTAGAAATTGTAGGCAGGGTTGAGGCCTTGGGAGGAAGATAATGACTTACAACTTGAGAGGAAGGAGCAGAAGGTCCGTGTGGGACCCTGGATGTGCCTGCGTCCCAGCCTTGCCTCTAGGGTGCTTCGTCAGGTTTGACCAGATTGGGGTCCTGGGCGAAACAGCCTTGGTTCCCCTTTGACTTCTGTTTGGACTAGACATTGTCCAAGGAGTTATCCTCGGTGAGGCTGATGTAGGAACTGAGGGATTCTCGGAGCCCTTCACTGAGAAGAGATGCCTCCCCACTTGCAGGCGCTTCCAACAACAAGCTGCTGTGGATGGGGGAAGGCGGGTAAGGGAGCCACTTCTGTGCTTGCCACACAGTTCACCACCCTTAGGACAGCACCACGGTACTCCTACTGACAAACTCCGCTCCTCTTTTTTTTTTTTTTTTCCTTTTTTTGAGACAGGGTTTCTCTGTGTAGCTTTGGAGCCTGTCCTTGCAGTCTCTCTGTAGACCAGGCTCTCCTTGAACTCACAGAGATCCACCTGCCTCTGCCTCCCATGCTGGCCTCTGCCACCCATGCTGGGATTAAAGGTGTGCGCCACCATTGCCCAGCCTGGCTCCTCATTTATTAGCTGATCTAACTCCATCTTGACCTCCCTACTCAGGATTCTATTCACCCACGCACTCTAACCTTCCTTCCCCCCCCCCCCCCCGGCTGCCCAGGGGTCCATGCCTGCTTTTTCCCTACTATTACCACTGCCTTGTCCTTACCACTGCTCAAGCCTGTTCTGGGCTCTAGAAGGTGTCCCTGGATGTAACGAGCCCATTCTGGGTTGTGAATCCACATTTTGTTCTGCCTTCACGTTTCCAGGACTCCCCTTACCTATCCAGCTCTTTCCAGTTGAGTGATGCCGTCCGCACAGTCACAGGTAGAGGTATATCTTTGCCAGGTAGTGGACCAAGCTTCTGCAGGACACAGGGCTCCTTTAGCACACAGCAGATGTCATCTGCCAGCTCTATGGAAGAGACGCAAGCCCTTGATGTGATACCTGCCCTGGCAGTGTTCTCTGCCATTAGAACACTAACATTAGCACATTAGGAACGTGGTCACCAAAACGTAATGGAAAGTGAAGTCTCACGACAGCTGAGGTGTAAAGTCCGTCTGGGGCTAAGTCATGTGATACTGAGTTCAGTGTAAAGCTGAGGAAAGCAAGCTGAATGGTCAGCCTGTGGCCTCTCAGGCCTGCTGTGGGGAGCCACCTTTGTTGTTTGTTGTTACTGACTTTGTTGTTTTGAGACAGTTTCTCCATGTAGCCCTGGCTGTTCTGAAACTCAGTCAGTAGACCAGGCTGACCTCAAACTCAAGAGATCCACCTGACTCTTCCTCCCAAGTTCAGGGATTAAAGGCATGTGCCACCATGCCCAGTGAGGTTTTCCTTATCTCCTTAACACCTGGTTACAGGGCAGGCACCAGAAATGCTCAAGATTGAATTGCACCCAGGAACAGCACGATCTGGTTCGTGTGATGAGAACTCTGCTGTAGGGGACTTTGATTTGGAACCACCACTGTGGCAGTGAGATTTTGGCCAAACTCACAGTTGGCTTCTAGTCAGTTCTTGTCAGCATAGGATAGAGACAGTTCTCACCACATCTCAGGGCTGCATGGGTATAGATGGAGGGCATGCCTCTTCTGCCTAGATAGCCCCAGCAGGTCAAGGTTCTAAGGGCACAACTGATGACCTAGGACCTTCATCCAGTCTACTGTGGAAGAAAAAAAATGAAGGATGTCACACCTGAGTAATGATCCACCAGGGCCTGGAGTGAGGGGAAGGTGAGGCGTGGTGAGATGTACAGCCAGCCATTGTCGAGGCGCTGTATCCTATAGTGTCTGATCCGGTCCCAAGATGCTGGGCGACTGAGTCGGATGGACAGGGAATAGCAGCCTGAGGAAGAAAGGATCCAGTGATGGATCTGAGGCCCCGCTGGAGACCCAGCCCCGCCCAGGTTGGAAGAAGGAATAAATAATGGCCACAGCCCAGCCTTCAAGGAAGTATTGGGGTCAAACGCAGGACAAAGAGGATTGGTTGTTATAGATAGGATTCTGTGGTCCTCAGGATGGGTAAGGTGTCAGTGAACCTTAATATTGACTGTATAAAGACTCAAGGATTAGAATGTGAAAATGTGTCTTGTAGATGTCAGCATGGTCACAGAGAGAAAACCACCTTGGAAACAATTTGGTGTTGAGTTCTTCCTTCAAACCCAGCAGTCCCATCTCATACACAGGGGAGAGAGACAACATTGCTACCAATAGACGCCATATTCACAAACCCCATTGGAGCTCTACAATAAAGTGCAGAGGATGTAGCTCAGTGCTAAAGCATTGACCTAGGGTGCACACCACTTGGTGTGAGGTAGTCCCCTCCCTCACACAAAGTGTGGAGCTTTATAGAATGCAATGCTGATTGTGTAGCAGAGAGTATAATCCCAGCATCTCGGTTACATGGTGAGTTGGAGGCCAACCTCAGCAGTGTGAGACTGTCTCAAAAACAAAAAACAAAAGGATGAGCAGCAGAAGTCCGTGTGTACATTCAGTAAAGTTCAGCACAGTGAAGGGCTTTGCACAGGGACACTTACACAGCAAGGTTTTGAAGAGAGGCAGTTGCTCAAGGCCAGCCTGGTAACCATCCCAGGCTAGTCAGGGCTACATAATGAGCCTGTCTCAAAAATAAAATAAAACTTATGCCAGTCCTAAGCAACTGCTGCACTCTTTCGGTTCCAAGGCATCTGTTTCATAATGCAGGCTGCCTGGTTCTCATACAGCCACACTCAGTAGGACCTGTGCCACCCATGCCCACCAGCCCTGTTGCTAAGGCACACCTAGCCACACGGTGTGAAGGGGGCTAGTGATTATCCATATCTCAACAGCTCTGAGCATTCAGGTAGTGAACCATGTTTGGCATACAGCAAGCACCCATTATATTCTGTATTCTGGCCCTGTGTCCCTGCTGTTCCTTTGTGGTAGTTTGAATAGAAATGGCCCCCACAGGCTCATATATTTGAATGCTTGGTCATTAGGGAGTGGCACTATCAAGAGGTTTTACCTTGTTAGGGTACATGCGGCCTCATTGGAGGAAGTGTATCACTGGGGGTGGGTTTTGGGGTTTCAAATGCTCAAGCCAGGCCCAGAGTCTCTCTTCCTGCTGCCCACCAACCCAGTTGTAGAACTCTCAGCCCCCTTTCCAGCACCATGACTGCCTGTGTGCTGCCATGCAGCCCACCATGACAGTAATGGACCAAACCTCTGAACCTGTTAACCAGCCTCAATTAAATGTTTTCCTTTATAAGAGTTGCTGTGGTCATAGTATCTCTTCAAAGCAATAGAAACCCTAAGACATCCTATGCAGAACATTCTACCTGCAAGATGCACACCTTCCCTTAAAGAAGGAAACCTGAGGAATGGTTCTGATTTATCCTCCTGCTATCTTCCCATTTTCATAGACAGCCTTCATCCACTCACCCAACCATTCATCCATCCATCCATCCACCCACCCACTCACCCACCCATCCATCCATCCATCCACCCACCCATCCATTCACTCATCCATCCATCCACCCATCCATCCATTCACCCACCCACCCATCCATCCACTCATCCATCCATCCATCCATCCACCCACCCACCCATCACTAAGCCCCAGACTTCGGAGTCACTGACTGCTTCCTCTCCCACTGTCTTGATTTGGATCTGAAATGCCTTCACAGAGCCCTGGAGTGAAGGCATGGCTCCTGGCAGCAGTATTCAGAGCTGGGGCCTTTGGGAGGTGATGAGATCATGAGGGCTCAGCCTTTTCCCAGCAAGCTTTTCTGTTCCATGGCTGCCACAAAGTGAGCAGCTTTTCTCCACGCTCTTTGACCACATTACCTTGCCACAGGCCTAAGCAGCTAGGCCAGGTGACTGTCAGCAGAAACCTCTGACATCAGGGGCTGAGATCAACCTCTTCCTCTGCCAGCAGCGGAAAGCCCTACTGGCTACGTTCAGAGCACACCTGGACTCTGACCACATCCCAACCAGACAGAGCTTGTGGTTGCTTCCTGTGTAGCTTCCCACTTCCAGTTTGTCACAACAGTAGTAGGTCACTCCTCCTTGGAGCCCTCCCTATCACACTTAGAATCAAAGTCCGCATCACCTTTGAAAGGCTTCGCAGAATCCGGCCTCTCCTTGAACCTGCTCCAGTTCTGCTGGCTTAGGCCCAGAAGCCTCCCAGTGCTAGAATTAGTGAGCCACTTGAAGACTTACTGCCCTTGGATTTCTTGTAGAAAACACACACTGAGCATTTGCCCCCTACTGGCCACGGGTCTAGAGAGCCCTTCAGGAGCACAACCCTTGCTTAGTGCACACAAGCCCGTCCGCCTGCATGGATGAGGGAGCTGGTGGTGTGTGAGGCAAGTCTAGGCCTGTCTGGCAGCCTGGTATTAAACATGGCTCTCTCCTTCCTGTCTGGAAGACAGTTTACTCCAGCTCTCTATCTGCCTACTTAGGCAGACTCATTCATTTCTCCAACAAACATTCGAGCCCCTACTACGATGCCAGACACTGCACAGGCCCAGACGGAGATGTAGGGATGATAGGAGCTATCTGTCCGGCCATCTCCTCGCAGGGGTTGTCCTTGATGGTCCTCAATGGACAATGAGCTCCATTGTTCTCAGAGCACAGCTTTCAACTTTGTTGCAAGAAACCAGTTCAAGATGCTGTGGGAGCTTTGAGGAAGACGGGCAGCCTGGGGAGGTGACCATGGCTTGGACCATGAAGGATGAGTGTATATTTGCCCAGGGGAGATGTGGGGGGTGTGTGGCTTCCAGGCTGTGGGGCAATGTGCCAGGAAGTAGAATGGAAAAAATGAGTACCTGGTAGGCAGTTGAGCTAGAGGACACAGAGGACCTAGAGGATGACCTACCAGACCAAAGGCAGTGTAGATGGTCCTGGATGCTCTCTAGCAGGCTTAGGTATTCATGCCCAGAACTTCTGGGATTGGGCATTCTAGTGGTGCTGGGAGAAGAGATGCCATCAGGATCTACCTGGGGGAAATACCTGTCAGACCCTGCCTGCACTTCCTCCACTGAGGTCACAAAGGAGCCAATGGCCTAAGAGATGCTGAGCCCTAGGTCCTCCCATCTGCAGCTGGAGACTGGGAGCCACAGTGTGGAAAATGTGACTCAGCCACCACTGGGGAAGTGTTGGCCACCGGAGAGTGAGCAGAGCTGAGCCCAAGGGGAGCAGCCACATCTTGCTCACTCATCCCCCTCACTGAATCCAACACAAAGAGGGCACAGGGTGACAGCCGGAGAGTGAGGGACTGCTGCTTGTTGGAACCTGTCCTTAATCCCGGGACAGCTCTCCGGAGCAGTCCTGTGACCTGTGTAGTGATTAGGACCTCCTTCATAGAGCAATACTCAAGCCTGGCTCTCCCCAGGCCTACAGCATAGTCAAGTAAGTTAGAGGAACTCTGAGGAGGTGTGGAGGGTGGCTGAGAGGGTATTCTTAAGTGCTCAGGGCTGCAGGCTTTCCTTGGTGCACACACAGGCTCCACTCCTCTGGAATCCCCACCTCAGAGCTACACTGGACTCTAGGTCCATGTTGACCCTGGAAGCAGGTACAATGGCCGAAGCCTGTGATACCACTCAGGTGGAGACAGAAGGATCATAAGACCTGCCCACGCTACAGAATGAATTCAAAGCCAGTCTGAACAACTTAGTAAAGCCCTGTCTCCAAAAGTATCTAAGGCTTTGGGTTTATACCCAGTACTGCAGAAAAACAGGAGAAAAGGTGATCCCAATGTCACCCAGTCAGTGGTTACGATGTCATATGTGACAAAATGCACAGAATATAAGTAAAAGTCTCCCTCTCTCCCCGTGATCGGCAGACAACATGGCTTCTCTATTACTTCCTTCGGGGTTTTCCTCTGTCACTTTGAAAGCACACCCCTAGTATGTCTGTAGTGGCAAAACCAGCACCGTTACCAAGTCCAGAGCATCCCAATGACCCCTGAGCTTCAGAGAGTCACACTCTATGACATCATTCAGGACCCTAGAACTTAGTATCAAATTTCACAGTCACCCAGGATATACTTAAGTATCTGAAACAAGTCTGACTACGCCCTAGCACCGCCAACTCCAGCACATGCTGGGGATTTCTTGCTCTACTTCGCTACAAACATGCCCTGTCTGGTGAGAGGGTCTCACCCAATGACACCCTTTCAGATTCCAGATCCTAGGACACACCCCTGACCAATTAAATCGGAAGCTCAAGCCTGGAGTGCAGGCATTCATGTAACAGGCTCCTCTGGGGTGATTCCAATGTGCAGTTAAGATCTAGGTCTCCAAGCCAGCTCCCCAGGCCTGCAGTGTAAGAGAAGAGGATGTTCAGGCCCAGCCTCAGGCTTGGCATGCTGGGTGTGGGGTAGCCGGCCTGCAGACACGTCTGTGCATCCCTGGACAGAGACCCGTGGGTCTGTAAGCAGTGAACTAAAGTGATCTTTTCCCAGGCTGGGTAGGGTATGCCCTTCAGCAGTGCTGTCCAAAGGAAGCCTTGGAGAGACAACCATTCTACAAGGTTAGCATGGGAAGTTTCTGTTTGTTCTGTATGTATAAGCTAGCAAGCCCCAGGGATCCTCCTGTCCTGCATCCCCAGCACCGAGATTACAAGCATACACCACTGGGCCAGACATTTTACATGGATGCTGAGCCTCGAACTTAGGACTGAATGTGACTGAACGCTTGCTCCTCTGGGATCTATCTCCCAAGTGCTGGGATTACTGGCATGCACCACAGTGCCCTAACACGGGGTCTTCTGTTTCTGATGAGGGTTGTTTCCTGAGTGACCCCCACTAGGTGCTGGTGACAGGGACGCTGGTCCTAGAATTCCTGTGGATCCTTCCAAGTCTTTGAAGATCTTCACGGATCCTCTTGGCTTCTCCATGAATTTTCCTTGTGATAGCTCCCTCTTAATCAAGAGGGAGGGATAATGACACAAGGGGTGGTCACTATGCTCTTGGGACTGCACCAGGTCAGAGGTGGGGTGGAGTGGCTAAGCCCTGAGCACTTCCTGTGGCTTTTCTAGCTCACAATTGGTAGGTCTGCAGAGCTCCTGTCCCAGTCACCACCACTGAGGTTTCCTGTGCAGCTGCCACACTGGAGCCAGGTGCCCCACCACCACCCGCAGCAGTCAGTGGTGTTTATGAGGGTGAGGGGGTTGATGTTTCTTGGAAATTAGCACGAGGGGCTGGGGGGAGGTTAACTAGGAAGCTCTAGAGGGAAATGCATGCAGGGTAGAGGTGCAGAGCAAGGACCCCCAACAGACAGTCCATGCAGTAAGCTCAGTCGGGACAGACACAGGTCTGTCTGCACTGCACTGCAGTGACTCCTCCCTAGACTGTCACTAGCAGACTCTGTATTTTTAACCCTTGAAGTCTTTCTCGGGTGCATGGCTTGTGATGAACATCTGACAAGAGATCCTCTCATGTTCTGCCTTGTAAAGAAGGATTACCACTGCTGGTCAGAGTAAATCCCAGGTGGTTTTTTTGTTTGTTTGGGGTTTGTTTTGTTTTTCAAGACAGGGTTTCTCTATGTAACAGCCCTGGCTATTCTGGAACTTGCTATGTAGACCAGGCTGACCTCAAACTCACAGAGATTTGCCTGCCTCTGAGTGCTGGGATTAAAGGCCCAGCAGTCCTAGTTGTCAAAATATAGACTAAGACCAACTTTGCTCTGTTGTCCAAGGACCCTCATGAAAGCACCGTGACTCAACTCCAAGCCCAGGTACCCACTCCAAAAAAAAGTCTCCCGTTGATTGTTCCAAGTCAGTTGTGTTTCCTTTGCCCTCACAGCCTGACTTCACCTCAGGGCCTTTCACAGTCAGAGCCTGACTGGACAACCTCCGCTGACCTTTCGGAGTGGCGACAGCGTGTCCTCTATCCTGAGCCTCACTCTGGAGAGGTGTCTGGTGGGGGCTGAGTTTACCCACCTCTCCTGCTCTGGCTCTCTCTGATGAGGAAGGACCCTCCGGGGTTCCCAGGCAGCAAGAGTAGTTCCTCAGCTCTCTCCCGGCTCAGGCCCTCGTACAGCCATCTGGGGGAGCAAGGAGAGGAACAGGTTAAGCTTGTGGGCTTTAGTAGAATTCTTCTTTTAAAAGGATTTAATCCGCCTCTGCCTGATCTTGACAAGCTCTTCCCTCCCTTGCCCTCTGGGCTTCCCTTGCCTTCTGTACTGTGAAGAGCAGGCCTCAGAGGCTCAGAGATCCCTCCGAGAGTTGCTCTCAGGGTCCTGACTCCAGAGACTTTGGGGAAACAGCCCTATGAAGGCATGGGCAGACTTTCTTTGCCTGGAGACTTCATTACCAAGTGTCTGGGAGGTAATGGGATGGAGGAGGGACTGTGGGGGGAGGGCGGGGCAGGGCAGCACAGGTTGCCCCAGCCTGTGTCATCACTGCCCAGTCCTCCAGCTCCACTGCTGATCCACTCACCCTTGCAAGAAGTGCCCCTTGATTTCCCGCTTCAGGATGACTTATAGACTATGCCTGTCTCCTACATGTCCCCTTCAGGATGACTTATAGACTCTGCCTGTCTCCTACATGTCCCCTTCAGGATGACCTTATAGACTATGC